TTATATAATGACATTTTGTGAAGTCAGTGAAAACTTTCCCTTCACTTTGCAGCTGCTCATGATGCTGATAAACCTTTAGCCCAGCCTTCCCTCTGTGAGATCATGTTGCTTCTTTTGAAATGCCTGATAAATGAAGAATTCTGGTCTCGCTACTTCCAAAACAAACTGTTGCTCTCCTGATAATCACTGCAAAAGCCCTTGCTTCTCCTAAGCGAGTCAGTGAAGATTCTCTGCAGCTTTACGAGAGCACAGACTACCTCAGTTGAAGTTAAATCCTTACACATACAAAGAGTAGAGTTATGAGGCTGGCTTTCACCTGGCAGTCCTGTTAACCTTTATGAGTCTTAATGAATCCATCTGTCTGTAGAATGTCCTTGAATTTCTTTTCGTCCAAGATTGTCTCCCTAAGAATGCCCCCATCCCCCAGCACTCTGCAACCCAGGAGTAAAATGGGTTCATTGTTTGGAGTGAGAGTTCAGATAGTTGACTGTGTGTAAGATGACAAGGTAGCGGTTCTTGTTATCACAGAGCCTGCAGACATATGGGAGACAGGGAGATGAATAAGTGCTGTGACAGAGACTCTGAGTTGTCTAATGAATGGCTGAGTGTGCAAAATTAATGACATTGTTCTTCTTTACACCCCTACAATATCAAGCTTGAACATTTTACAGATTCTACTTTTGAATGTGTCGTTCTAAATTAGTACATTCTCATTTTAGTATGAACAGTAGAGTATAATTGACCAATCTACCATCAAACAGAGACTTGGTTAATTTTATATCATTACCATTAGTTTATATAACTGCTGTGTAATAGAGCAGTGCTTCTCAGCCAATGATGGAAGCAACTAGATTTTGAAAAAGTCAAAACATACATTACTTTGTTGATGCTATAAAATATTATTAATGTGTGTATTTTGCATGGTTTTTCTCAAATGTTGATATACCAGATAGCTCACTCTCAAAAAAGTAAAAAGGAAGAAAAAGCTTCTTTTGGGTGTTCGCTTATTCA